AAAAAAAAAAAAAAAAAAAAAAAAAAAAAAAAAAAAAATAAAAACTCAATTATGCTATGTAAACGTGTTTTTGTTTCCATTCCAGGTGTGAGATATGGGGATGATTCAGACTGTCCACAGCAGCAAACTACTTGGCTCATGCAGGCTCTGAAAGGGGCTCTTTGCCCACTGCAGATAGTTTAATTCTGAGGACTCTGAAGAGGGAATAAATGCCAGAGCCTGGGGTTGGAGGGCAGAGGGCTCCAAGGATGACGGATGCTACTCTGCTGCTCTTGGTTGCTGTTGATGCAGTTTGATGAGAAGTTGGAGATATTCTGAAACAAAGATTGGACTTGCCCCAAGGAACTATGTCTCTAACCAGCAGGAAGTAGTTAAAAAGAACTATGCCCTTTCTCCCCACTAACCTTTCCTTCCTATCTGGTGTTGGAATGTTTGTTGGTATAATATTCTTGTGGAAGGTATACAATTTACCCTTGTTCACTCAAATGCTGATTTCTCTACCCCACTATCTGGTTTTAATCTGGACATTGCATTGTGCTGCTTATGCTAAGCATCACCTGCCTCAAGTTTGTATAAACATGCCACCATTTGTTCTCTGTGTTGCAATAAAACAACCAGCCAGTGCTAAGCAATGGAGAGAATAGGATGGAACATCCTGGTCCAGAGGGGAGGAGAAGGAAGTGAGTGGGTAGAGGAGAGGGAGATTGGCAGGAGGGTCTTCAAAACACGAGGAGAGATGAACCGGACCTAAGATATTACTAAAAGCAAGTATAATGGGTGAAATCTGAATGGTAGAAAACTTTTCGGGCTTGGAGGTTTAGGATGGAATAACTATTGCCCAGCATTGTGCACTAGGTTAATTAAATAAATCTTAATCTCTGTGTGGTTGCTAGGAGCCAAAGCCAGCTAGTGGAAAGTTACTGACAGCTGCAACAAGGTCATGGGTGAGAGATTTATGTTCCAGGAACTTATGAGACATCTGTGTGTCAGGCTAGAGCATCTTGAGGTATCTTAGCTGACATTCTTGTGGTATCTCTCTTAGCAAACATTCTTGTGGTATTTTGCATCATAAATCACCCTGCTATCTCTTGTATCACAAACTGCCCTGCTGATGCATTTTTCCCTTCCTGCCTTCTCCCTATAAAGTTGTGTGAAAATTTTCAAATAAACAAGAGCTCAATCAGACATTAGACCTGCTCTTTATCTTTCGTGTCTCTTGTCCCACCCCATTCATTTCACCCCTCCTTGGGAACCCGTTGAACCCCCGCTGGTCGGGGCATGTGGTGATTTGGGTATACAGCTGGTTTAGAGATAGGGTTTTTCTATGTGGCTTTGGCTGTTTTGGACTCACTTTGTAGACTAGGCTGGCTTCGAACTCACAGAGATCTGCCTCCCTGAGTACTGGGATTACAGGCATGTGCCACTGCACCCCTTTTACAGCTGGGTTAGAAATAACTGCTGCTTAACTAAAAGATAAATCAATAGTAAATATTAATATCAAACAACAAGTGTTGAAAGGGATAAGGACTGGAGAAGGGAGAAAGAGATGTAAGAACGACAATAAAACAGATTAAAAAAAAAAGTAAGCCTGTAAGTCCCTATGTCTCTTTGGCACTAACATCTCTGAGGTCTTCTCCAGCAGAGGGAAAGAGAAAGCAAGGAGCTCATGCCTACAGGGAAAAAAAAGCTCTCACCCACAGAACTGATCTAAGGGTAAAGACATGCAGAATTAACAGATGCAGTTATATCACTGAAAACAAGCTTCTAAAAGGGAGATTGAATGAACCACCTCTCTGTGATTGTTTATGGAAACAAAAAGAGACCCCTGGTGTGGTAGCTCACAACTGTAGCCAACACTTGGGAGGCTGAAGCAAGAGGAATGCTTAGTTCAAGGCTATTCTGGGCTATAGTGTGAGACTGTCTTAAAAAGGTAAAATAGAAGGGCTGGAAACACGGTTTAACAAATTAAGAGCACAAGGGACCCTGGTTTGATTCCTAGCACCCATATGGCTGCTCATAGCCTCTTCTGGCCTCTGAAGACAGCAGGCATGCAAGTGCAAACCACCCATATACATGAAAACAAATGAAATTTTAAAAAAGAAAGAAAAAGATGAAATCCTCGTACCTGCACAGATAAGTATTATCACAAACTTTCTTATCTCCACTTTGGTCCCCTAAAAACCATTTGTTTCCCCAGAAGCCATTTTACTTCTCATGTCTTATTTATCTCATGTAGCCTTTCTGCCCCCAAGTGCTGGAATAACAGGCATGTGTCACCATGTCCAGCTCTCTCTCTGCTAAGCTACTGTAAAACCAAAAGCCAGCCTGTAAGCTCCCTCTGCCCAAGGATCAGGTAACTTCCTGGAATGCTGGGAGTTGTAGAATTTTGAAAACAACAAAGCCACGTGGAAAAATACGGTGGCCCCTACAACATGTGTCTCATTACCACCTGCTGAGAATTCTAGAGTGGTCTTGACTGACTAGTATTTAATGAAACCTTGCTTCAGATTTGGCTCAAAATTGTGGAACTGGTTTTTCTTTTGCAAATCTCAGGATTAACACTACATTTTTATATGTCTTTTTGTTTTGCTTTGTATTTGTTTTTTGTTTGTTTATTTGTTGTTTTTCAAGACAGGTCTTTCTCTGTGTAGCCTTGGCTGTCCTGGAACTTACTATGTAGATTAGGTTGGTCTCAAACTCAGAGATCCTCCTGCCTCTGCCTCCCAAGTGCTGGGATTAAAGGTGTGTGCCACCACTGCCTGTCATATATGAAAGTATTTATCTTTGGCTGTTTAAGGAGTTAATTTTGTGCACTCATATACATGTAAATAAACATTTTTCCTATTGTCAAGTTGGAGGCAAAATACATACACATGCACTACACCTAAGAGAGTTTTCCTTCCTAACAGTGGACAAATATCCTTTTGCCAAGGACTATAGCCCTGTGCCTTCCTTTCCTTGTGTTCCCTTCCTACTTACCTTGCATGCAACCCTTATTTGCTTATTAGGGAGGCCAGCCTAAGATGTAAACTGAGAGATTGTTTCTTGGGAACTGCTCTGTCAATCCTTATTTGTTAGCCTCTGAGAAATGCCAACCTCAGATACAACTGAAAGAGAAAGATAGAAGATACAGTTGAGAAAGAGGTTAGAGAAGAATGAGTCACGTGTACAAAGAGAAGAGAGGTTCAAGCAACATGAAGATAGGGAGGAATTTTCCTTCAAGGGCACTGATGATGTAAGCTTATCCAGAAGCTTAGTGAGGTTGATTCTGTGCGTTAAAGAATACATGGGCTGAGGCCATGGCCCAGAGGATAAAACACTTACTTGAAAAGCATATTTGAATGCCCAGATCTGATACAAAATACAAGAAGTTATGGTGGCCACCTGTATTGTAACTCAAGCACTTGGTGTTGCAACCTGCTTAACCTGAAAAAAATAGCCCCTCCTTTGAGACCTACTTTAGTTCTTAGCATAACTGTGGCTCCTCTGTTAACAACTTCTGTCCCCTTTAGCATATCAGAAGCCATTTTGCCTCCAAATCTCCATTTTGATCATAAGGTGAAATTAAGTTCAAGTTCTCAGGCCCTATGTATCTGAGACCAGGATAGTTCAATACTTGCTGCTTAGCAAAAAACAATAGATGACAAGCATTTATCTTTAACTCAAGCAGAACATGCAGGGTTTTGTGTGTGTTTTACACACACAAAATTTAAGCATACCATTATCAGTTTGCTTTCTTACTGTAATACCTAAAATAATTCAATTTAAAAAGAAAACTTTAATGCACACACACACCGTGCATATAAACTCAAACAGGTATATACAAACATAATAAATACCATCATGTTTTATATAAAAAAAGACAAGTTTATTAACCTTTTGTGTGAATGCTCTGCCTACATATGTGTCTATGTGTCTGTACACCATGTGTGTGTGCCACGTTTGTGTTGGAGCCCCTGGGACTGGAGTTCTAGACAGTTCTGAGTTTCCATGTGGGTGCTGGGAACTGAACCCAGGACCTGGGGCAGAGCAACCAGTGCTCTTAACCCATAAGCCATCTCTCCATCCCTGAAAGAAGCTAACTGTGACTGTTTTTCTGTTGTTGCTTTTTTTCCATGATCAATTGGCATTTTTGTTTGGGGCCTACAGCAGCCTGGTGCTGGTCTCCACCACTCGCTAACAGCGTCAAGCTGTTAGCACTGTGCCTTTGGAGTACATTGCAGATGCAAAGCGAGGATCTGTGATGTGAAGATGTAAGATTCCAGAGCAGACTAGTGGGAGTGCAGAGAGGGGATGAGAGACATTAGATGCCAGGCAGCTTTACAAGGGAAAGGCTGAGGCCGCGGAAGCATTTCAGCCCTGGAGTTTTAGGACTTCAGCAGTTTCTTCATTTTTCCTGTGTCCATTCTGCAGCACAAGAGTCCCACTACACTCCTTTGAAGTCATGCCCTGGAACACAGCTGGCCTTAAAGGAACACTTCTCGCTTGGCATTCACCAACCTTTCATGGTAGCTACTTTACAGAGGCTATGGTTGACTAGGAAGTGGCTCTTCCATAGTTTGCTTACACCAAATTCTGGACTGAGAAATACACCCCAGACACCAGAAACTGGAAGATTTTATCAGGAGCCTATAGTAACTAGCAAACACAATGGGGAGGTCAGCAAGGGCTGGCGCAGGGGTTAAGAGAGATTTGCTGACAAGACTTGAGACTCGCATGGTAGAAGGAGAGATCCAACTTACTCCTCCATGTCTATGCACATGCTAGCACACATTTTTATAATCAAAGACATATTTTAATCATATTTTATAATAAAAGGGACATATTTTTATAATAAAACCCCTCAAATATCTATTCACGTTGCTTTGATGGCATTTTGGTGTTTGGAATTGAACAATGGGTGTATTACGCCTTATTGAAGTCCAGCTCATGGAACTACTGTCCTCACTGTGTCCAGTGTGTGCTGCCCACACGCAGCTCTGGCATTCTCCATGGCACACACCTTGGTGATGCTGAGCCTCCACCTCCCAAGCGCTGAGGTTACAGACACATCCCACCACCCCTGATCTGATGTAGCACAACTGAACCCAAGGCTTTGTGCCATCTAGACAAGCACTCCTACAAACTGAGCCACATCCCCAGACACTAGACAATGACTCTTTGTTTTGGAGTTGGGGTCTCACTAAGAAACCTGGACTGGCAAGGAACTCACTATGATGTAGACCAATCAGGCTAGCCTTGAACTCTGAGATTCACCTGCCTCTGCCTAAGGTATTCACCACCACATCCAGCTTTAGGGAAGGGTTTTTGAGGACTGGCCAACAGGATAATTCTGCTTATATTTATGTACCTTTATGACACTGTTACAGCCCTTGGGATCAGAGGAGGAAATGTATGTCTGTGAACTATACCCTTAGCTATCACCATGCCTCACTTGCCTTGGTCTCGTGTCTGTAGTGGATTTGTTTGTTTGTTTTTGAAATATCCATAAACAGAGCAAATGAACCAAATTGCTTTTTTCTTTTTATTGAGCAAAGATGATAAAGATGGACAAAATCAAGGCACAAAGCATTTTTAAAAACTGGGGGCTTGAGAGGCAAAGATCTGGCTTATTCTATAGTAAAACAGAGTGGCAATAGCTTCCCTTGCCTAGATCAGTGGTGCTCACTGTAGGATATTAGGGAGTGACGGTTGTTGGTTTTGTGTCTGAAGGTTATAACCGGCACTCAGTAGATGCAGCCTGAGGCAGAACAAGTGTCCTGCTGTGTGTGGACAGGCCAGTCCCACACACAAACTGCTCTGCACCTTTGCGACTGTCTAATGTCCTCCTGGACATTTACACAGGACCTACAGCTTGTCTGAGAGAGAATACTTGGTTCCCTCTGAGTCAAATCGTAATTTGTCCTGTCTTATAATCATTTCACTTAAAGTGATTCCGCCCTTTCTTTACCACAGACAGATAAGGCACTTAGCTATGGTGTACCCTAATGCTGCCTGCATTCTGTCACACATCCCTTCAAGCGTTCATTTCCTGTACTTCATTCAGTTCAGGAAGTTGCCCCTGCTGGACTCTTCAGCCAAACCTATTCACAGTAAGAGTTAACATCTGTTTGTTTCACAGCTTACAGCATAATCAAGCCTGAGCACTTACTTACATACTGAAATCCAGTTTGTGTTCATTCCACATTCATTATGTTTCCATTATAACACAAATAGGGCCCTAAGTTAGGTTTTAATAAACTCATATGTATGGATTATATTACCTATAAATCATCTCAAGATGGCAACGGCTGTTATAAAAGATCTACCTTTAAAGGATGAACAGGTCTACTAGGGTCTGTGGTTGTCATGACTGCGGGCAGGAGAGGGCACCACTGGCATTTAGCATGTGAGAGCCAACTATGCATCTTTCAATACATTGGGCAGTTCCTCACAGTAAGAAATTACTCTGCGCCCTATTCGAGTTTTGAATGTCTCATTAGACATTCGTGTATGACCTACAGTTCGTCTGTAAGAAGGTATGTCTTCATCCTCTCTATTTCGACAATCTGTAAGTTATTTTGTGCACTATCTTTATTTCAATGAAGGTATTTCGTTTTTACCGTGTACAGATAGTGCTGACATCAGCAAAAAACAAAAACAAAAAACCCCCTTGTATCGTTAGTTTTTACTCTGTCTACACATGCCCCTGCTTTTTCATGTTCCCCAATTCCTTTCCTATAAGCTCATACTGGTTCATGGTAAATGAGGCATCTGATGACCCCATTATGTCTCTGTACTGTAAAGTTGTGCTGAAGTTATGACCTTTCCCTCATATTATATTTGATTATTTTAAATTAATGGAACTGTATAGAGAATATATACCTGAATTGCACTTTAGAGACTAAACAAAACAGATACTGCCTTGTAGGGGGTTAAAACTGACAGCACAGTTCACTGAGAACCACTGAATGAAATGCAAAAGGCACGGAGAGCTGCAAGAACACCAGAAAGGCTTGTACGGGGGAGACAAAACGGACTTACTCGCATGTGTAAGCGGTCCAGGGAAGTGAGGAGCCTGGGATAAATTCTAGCTTTCTGCTTGCACAGCAGGGAACAAGTGATACTGTTCATGGGGTTGGAGGAGGCTTGGGGGGGGAGGTGCACAAAGACATCAGAATTGATTCCTCTGAAGGAGGCAAATAAGTGGTCCCTTTTGGACCTGTTGGACCAGAAACGGCTGGTAAATATCCAACTGGAAGTTAACCTAATGGGAAGTTGGGTACACTGCATGTCTACAGGATGAAGGTCTAGGTCAGATAATGAATATTCCAAAATAAGAGCTACCATATGAGAAAAAGAAAAAAGAAAGCAGTGATTAAAACAAACAAACAAAAACAACAACAAAACAACACCAAAACAAAAAACCCCAAAACTAAACATTGTGGCGAGCACCCCAGAAAAGAATCTCACTCTATAGAGTGTTCCTGGTGGGGACCTTCAAAGTGAAGCAACTGGGTAGCCTTTTATACTGATGTAAAAATCCAATCAAAGGCCAAGTAATGACAAACGTCTACCAGGACTGTAATGGGAATCTGTGGCAATTGGTAAGATGTTGAGAAAGGGGAATTGGAAGGAAAGACCCGATTCGTAGTATGGAAGAAAAGATTAGTCCGGGCTTCCTAAATGCTCTCAAAACACATCCATTATGTTTTCAAAAAGATACGCCTAGCAGGTACAAGGACTATGTGGGACACTGTTTTCTTTGTACTGCTTTCATGTCCACCAGCAAACCAGTCTTGCCTCCTTACAAGGCTCAGCCTTCAAACAGGGATGACTTTCCTGGTTTCTGGTGATCCCTTTCTATCACTGTAAACGAAGCCAATAGCACTTGGGTTTATTGGTCCTGCTTTTTTGATTCTAGGTACTTAATCTTACTAACATTTAGATGATTCCACAAAAGCTTGACATGCACAAAGCTTCTCCTACAATCATATTAATTAGAACACGGATGCCAGGAGCCTAAGCGGACAGTTAACTGCAGCTTGCTGCTTCTGAACTACACTGAACTATACTCGAGGAGTCAATCCCATGGAATCTGTCTTCTAGGTAAACAGCAGAGAGAAGTGTGTTCCTCAGACCAGTTTCATCGCATGATAATGTATGATATCACATACTAGATTTGTGTCTTTCAATAGCACTTAGATTTCACTTTTAAACTTTTTTTTCCCTCAGCAAGTTTTCTGCCTAAAGCTGCAATGTCTTATGTCATTATTTCAATAGGAATTGTTATTTCTCTCAAAATTTCCAAACTAACATCCATTTAGTTTACGAAAAATCAAAACAAAGCTACAGTAAATCGAAGAGTAGATGAGAGAGATGGAAGTCAATTACAAACACTTTGAAAATCAGCCTGAATGGTAATGTCTCATCAAGAGAATACAAACTTTCCAAAGCACTGCAGTTGGTGGGGGGCAGATTTAACAAGAAGCACTGGCTGGCTCGTGTGAGGGTGCAACCTGGGATTGTGAATTTGGGAACAGAAAGTTTGAGAATTGCTGGTTTACAATGTTAGGTAATGTAGTAGCAAGAAAATGCAAAAGCCTGCCTATTATGCAGCGATGATTTGGTCCTAGATGTCAACAGAATGGTTTTGGCGAAGTATACAACATTATTAACTAATTACGCAGACTTTTTCTTTCTCTGACTCTATGTACTCAATCACATATTCTGGGTAAATCTGCTCTTTCTGGAAGATGACAAAGATGGAGGGATTCATCCTGGTATCCACACAGCTGTCATAGAGTGCAGGAGGGCTACTGTATGTCATATTCCCTTCAGTGACATTTCCAACCAGGACTCGGGCTACGAACATCGCAATGTTTCTGGCCTCATAGGAACAATTTTTGTGGGAATAAATGGCTTCTTTTGCAAAGTAATTTCCTAGAAATAATCAGAAAAAGGTGGAAAATTATTATCAATTCTGTGTGGATTAAAAGAAGATACAAAGAATCAGACATTGGTAGGAATGAAACATTTGCTGACCACACTTTACTGACACTTGCAAGCTCTCTGGAATAGTTAATCTTCTTCATCAACTTAACTGCCTTTCCAATCCTGTGTGAGGTGTGTCTCTGATAACACTCCCAGAGAGGTTTAACGGAAGGACTCACCTGAATGCAGGTGAGTCAATTCAAGGGCTAGAAACCCAGACTGAGTGAGAAAGAAAAAGGAAGAAAAACAGATCTACGTCAGCATCTGCTTCCAGACCCTGGCTGCAACTTGACAAGCTGCCTAGAATTGCCGCGGCTAGGCCTTTCCATTGCCCCCAGGTTGCTTCTTGTGGAGTTCTTGGTCACAGTGACAATCGATACAGAAAACTGATGTCAAAAAAGTGAGGCTGTTGCTGTCACAAACTTTACCAGAGGTTTGCCTTTGGAGCTGGTTTGTGGAAGGAAGGTGTGAGAGTTTAGATCTGTGGGCAAGAGCTGCAGGCAGAGCTTGGTGGGAAAGACCATTCTGGTGGGAAAAACCAGAAGACTGACAAAAAACGAACAAACAAAAACAGAGTGAAAGAGTGAAAACAGTGCTTATGTGGTTGTAGAGGGAAAATGGGGAAACAAAGGTTTTATTGGAGATTGTGCAAGTGGCCATCTGTGTTACAGTCTAGCAACAAACTGACATGTGTGGTTGTCTTTCACCTACATTGTCACCATTTCTTTGTTGTTGTTATTTGTTTGTTTTGTGCTGCTTTAAGTCCTCATGATCTTATGTTTGGGGCAAAATAAATACCATTCTATCTCCTTTTCTTTTTTCTAAGGTTGTTTGTCTTTTACTTTTAAGGGTATGTAGTGGCATGAGTATATGTGCCCCGCATGCACACAGGATCCTGCAGAGCAGAAGAGAGCATCAGATAGGTCTCCTGGAACTGGTGGAGTTATAGACAGTTGTGAGCCTCCATGTGAGTGCTGGTTTGAACCCAGGTTCTCTGGAAACACAATCAGTTCTCTTTACCGCTGAGCTATCTCATCAGCCCACGTCCTGACTATCTAAATGAAGTTGAGTAAAGGTAATGGCCTAAGCTGTCTGGCAAGACGAATTTCAAGGTGGTACCATTCAGGCTGCAGAATGATCATGCCTCACTGTTTACTGAGACTTATAATAAGAATTCAGAGCAGAAAGGTAATAACGATGAAAGAATGATGAAATCATTTAAAGCTGACGGCGGGGCAGAGAGAACAGGTAGCAACAAGGTGGTGAAAATTGTTAAAGACATTGGCACCCTTAATGAGTTTTTCTTTTCATGGGAGAAAAGAAGAACTGCCTTGAGGAGGCACCTCTGGGAGCTGCAGAGTGTAATGATGTACACTTGTCTCAAAAGCAGCCTATGGTCTAACGTGGACTGAATCTTCCTGCCGCAGCCTTCCAAGTAGCTATGATTCCAAGCCCATGCGGCCAGGTCCGACTGCATCTTATTCCCTAGACACCCAGAAAGAGTGAAAGATTCATCAACAAAAAGAGGAATATGATTCTATGTGAGGGCAGACCCCTGATAACCCAGTGTGGCTGAGATGGGAAGGGGCCTCTTCTTCCCAGTGGAATTGTTGGTGACAGTAGCAAGCTAGTTTGAATGGATCTGTTGCCACAGACACATCAGAAAGAGCCACCTCCAGTATCTCCAGCAAGTGGTAAGGGCAGACAACACAGCCAGCAGATGGAGCAGTGTACAAGCATGGCTGTCAAGTTGTTCCCAGACAAAAAGACAAAACAGACGACAGGAACCCTGGGGCCAAGGCCCAGCACCCATACCCCAAGTCAACACAGCTGTTCTAACAAAGGCGTAAAGTAACTTGCTTATTTTCTCTCAAGGCCACTGAAGCCCAGTCATGCAGGTTTACAAAACTAACTCCAAAAGCCACTCAACAAAACCACGCGAATAGGTGGAGTCACAGCTTTCTCTACTCCAGCACGAACCTTTTCCATATTTGCAGTCCTGGTTGCCATGAAGAATCCACTCGAAGTTGTTCTTACAAATGTAATCCACGTGGACGCGGCATGTCGCATGAAACAGGCGCATCTCATACTTATTCTTCATCTTCAGCTTCTTCCTAATATAGAGAAATCTGAGACTCAGTACCAAGAGCTGAGCAGGAGAGCCGGAGTTCAAGCCCCTGGACCCACACGGTAAGGGGGGGGGGGTGGCACAACTGACTCCAGCAAGGTGTCTTGTGATGTGCATGCCCCACATGCTAGGACCAAATAACTAAAAGTCAAAAGAAAAAAAGACGAATATTCCACTCTCAAGCCTACTTTAAAAACATGACCCCAAACTAAGTCTGATTGTGTCACCTTTCAAAAGCGTCCCAGAGCTTTTGGTTCCATATCCTCTTTATCTTTGTAATCTTGAACTGTTTCATGGATGCTCTAAAGAGTTCACTTATTGTGACATACTCCTCATCCTGGCTATTGAGTTCTAGAAACTAAAAACAAACAGACAAAAATGAGATGTTTAAATGTTAAAGTAGATAATACCCAAAGCATAGTATATCCACACAGGTGCCAGGACCCACCATGCCGTTCTCAGGTGGGATGCGCTGACCTAGGGTGTCTGTATCTAGCTTCTTGTTCATTCTGCTTATGAACCAACAGGCATGTGCACCTGTCTATTCAGGACAACTTACGTGGTCTGTGACTTAATCCAAAGACCCAGGAAGTTTACTGCCCAAATTCCAATATCAGTCAGCGACGGAGGGATCAGAGATACCTATGGAGCACAAGCAGACTGGCCTTCCCAAAAGATGGAACCAGATACGTAGGCTAAACAGACTAGGAACAGTCTTGTCCCTGCCAGGCTGGCGACAAAGTGAGGCACACGGAGCTGGACAACTGTTACTGTCCGAGTTCCTGTTTTCCTATCAGTTACGCTATGATCTCACACGGCTGCTATGAGGCTCTGCCTGGATGACACTGCATCTGAAAACACTGAGATGCCCTAGAAAATGGCTTTCTCTTGGAAAGCATCACAATCGTGCCTAGCCCTGCCTTTGACCCTGGAGCTAAGTTTGGAAGAAGCGATTCATTCATTCCAGTAACAAACCCACACACTCACCGAAAAGCATGTTCCCGCCTTTAAAGGACTCACCCACCAAACAAGTAGAGTCAAGTACCTCATATCCGCTAGGAGAAACGGTGCTAATATCCCTCTGGGGAAGAGAACTCAGGGTCAGAGCATCTGCCTGGGCCATCACGGGCTGCCGGCTACAAACGAACAGAAGGAACATTTATTTGGCTTCCCTTCCTCTCTACGGCTTTCTGGGAAACGCAGTGCTGACGTCTAGATTTCCTCTGTACTAACCCTGAAAATTCTTGGTTCCAGTAACCACAGCTTTAAAAAAGTGGCATAATTTAGTAATATCAATGCTTTTCCCCCTGTTTTAAACTGCAAAAGCACTGGGCGGGTGAGCTAGCTAGCTCAGCAAGGACGGGTGCTTGCATGCAGGCCTGATGATATGAGTCTGACTGCTGGGCCCTTCCAGGTTGTGGGAGACAACTACTGACTCTTCAGAGCTTGTCCCTGACCCCCTCCTGTGTATAAATAAATGAGTGATTGGATGAATATTTAAAAAATAAAACAATCATGTAAAGGCACCAATTCTTTTTGCTGTATCTGCTCAACCTTCAAGGTACAGATGTGTCAGCATGAGCATGCATGTCTTGTAATTTGCCAAATGACAGACAGGTAAGTATAGAAAGACACAGAGGGTGGGGGAGGGAGCTGGAGAGATGGCTCAGCTTATCTTGAGGACCTGGGTTCAATTCCCAGCACTCACATAGCAGCTCACAGCTGTTTGTAGCTTCAATTCCAGCGGATCTGGCATTTTCACAGACATACACACAGGCAAAACACCAATGCACATAAAAAAAAAAAAAAAGAATAAATCTTTAAAAAAAAAAAATGGGAAAACATGGGGAAAGGATCTTGCCTTTCTGTAGAAATTGTATCTCAGAGTGCAAGATCAGCTGGAAGAACTGAAATAGCTGCAAACATCCCTAAGGTCCGTAATAGGACAATCACATGTTATATCTCTCCCCATTTAGAGCGGACCATCCTTTGTGCTGCACTCTTGACCAAAATCCCAGCCTGGACATAACAAGTCCTCAAAATGTAACACCCAGCTTCCAGAAGCCACCCACAAAATGACCTTAATGGAATATAATGGAGTATATTTTGATAGACCAAATTACCCCTTTTTAAAAAAGAATTGCATTGTTTTTTTTTAAAGAATTGCATTTTAAAACCGAGGTTGAGTCAGATATAAAAGAGCATAACATTAATCCTAGCACTCAGGAAGCAGAACCAGGCATAACTCTGTGAGTTCAAAGCCAGCCTGGTCTACAAGTTGAATTTAAGAACAGGACAGACTAAACAGAGAGACTGAATCTCAAAAGAAACAAAAAACAAAGAGAGAAGAAAGGAAAACAAGACAAAATGTAATGAGGAGATGGCTCACTGGGGACAGGGAGGGCCTGAGTCTGGATCTCCAGCACCCATATTAAAAGCGACCTGTGACAGCACCCCTCCCAGGACACCAGCACTGGCAGGTGGAGACAAGTGGGTTCCACGGACTTACTGGCCAGCCAGTCTAGCTGATGGGCAAGCTCCAGGCTCAGCAAGCAACTCTGTCTCAAGGTGAAGTGATTGAGGAAAACATACCAATGTCAACTTTTGCCTTCCACATGTACCAGAATGGGTGAGAACACAGCATTTACGATTTTTACAATGGAGGTGGTCCACTGAAATAGTTTAAAAGCAGCTTAGGGAGAAATCAACTAAATGCAATACATAGAGCCAGTCTGAATATGATAGGAGATAAACCAACTGTAAGAGGTAATTTCAAAGAGAATGGAGAAACAGAACATGAAATGGGTATTACATGACATTTGATGAATTACTGTTAACTTTGTTAGATGTATGTATGTGTTGTCACAGAGTCTAACACCAAGAGAAATACAAACCAGAGAGGTTATTACTGACACCAGCCGTATCAGCCAATGTTCCCAGGGTCTGCAGGTGTATCTCAGCAGTGAGCACATTGTTGCTCTTATGTAGAAGACAGGGGGCAGTGCAGTCTACCTGCCAAATCCCAGAACTAATGAACAGAGGGCAGGTGTGATGAGGTGACCTAGAACCAGAGCTGGGTCTCAGACCTGGTCACAGTCGAGGACCTGAACCAGGCTGCTCTGTCCTGCAGCGCTGACGCCCACGACCCTCCTGGACGTGACTCCCTGCCCACCCCATACCTGAGCTCTTTCTAGATGTTATTTCCCATGTTGCCTGTGGTAACCCACCCTGGACTCTGGGAACCACAGGAATCTAGAAAAGCTTCATTTTACACCTGCCTTCAAACCTGATTCGCATAATCACACATCCCCCAGGGAGGAAAAAATCCAACTGCAAAGTTTGTGAACAATGAGATTTTACTGAGTTTCACACAGACAAGCCAGTTACAATAAGTTCCCCACAGCAAAACCTGCCTTGAAATGCCCCACTGGTACAATGATTATAAGTCAATTAAAACCCAAACCAAAGCCTTTAGCCATCTTCATTCTTCTCCAAAGGTCTTCACCAGGCTTCTGTCGCAAGCCTTTTTCTCAGCCTCCTGTCCACTCTAAACCACACAGCACAGCCAAACAGAGGACCCAGAGCCAAACAAAAATCCAGAGTATTCAGTACTTTGTAGGCATACCCTTGATCCAGCCAGTTACAGCTGACGCCCACAGCACCCATGAGACCTGCTGAATCCCCTGTGAGTGAAGGGCAAAGGCTGGTTTCTTGGTATAGCATTCCTCCCACCCTACACCCCAAACCCAAGGGGTGTATCTGTTACAAAAAGCTTAACCAAGCCTGCACCCCTGGGCCCCTAGTCAGGGAGCCTTTCAGTTATGCCACGTTGCTTAACAATCTCCTTACTTATAGATAAAGCAAACACATTGCAGTTGAACAGAAGCAGGAACTTTCCAAGAACACCGACTCCAGATGTGTGATCCCTGGTCCAGGCTCAATCGGGGACTGGGAGGGGTCAGCACCCTGAGTGCCTCAGACACCCGACAGCTAACAGCTTCAGGACACTTACTCTGCACTTCTTCGCCTCTGCTCCACATCCTTTGAAGAAACGAATACTGGTCTTCTGACAACATGCCTTTGAGTGTTGGAAGCTATGTTTGTCTGAATCATACCTTATTAGACAGAAAAAAATAAAATAAAAATCAAGACTTGATCCTAGAAAATGACTCATTTTTTTCAGAGGGCATTTGTACAGCAAACATTCATGACTGAATCCCACTCTCTTACTCTCTTTCTTCCTTCTTCTTTTTAAGACAGCGTTTCTGTTTAGCCCTGGCTGTCCTGGAACTCACTCTTTAGGCCAGGCTGGCTTTGAACTTACAGAGATTGACCTCCTGCTTCTGTCTCACAAGTACAGAGAGTAAAGGTGTACGCATCACTGAATCTTACATGCAGAGAGCATGGTTTTAGATAAAAACAAACAAACAAAAAAACAAAGCAAACCATCACCTATGAAATGTTATTTTCAACTGTAGACCTGGCTCAAAATTCCAAGAATGACTTTTTTTTGCCTCCTATCTTTTTTTGTTTTTCAAAACAGGGTTTCTCTGTGTAGCCTTGACTTTCTTGGACTCACTCTGTAGACCAAGGGGCCTCAAACTCATCGAGATCCACCTGCCTCTGCCTCCTTGAGTGCTAAGATCACAGGTGTGCACCACCACGTCTTAAGAATGACCTCTTTCAAAAAGCAAATTATTATGCATTGCTGGAGTATAAAACATCTCTCCTTGCAAAATAGTTAAATAGCTTCTCTTATAGTCAAACATTTCCATCAGCCCCAACTGAAGAAATGATAATCTATATCCATTCAAAGATCTGCATAAAAATGATCACAGTCACATCATTATACCCAAACACTGGGAAACATGTGTTAATAATGGAATATTATTCAGAAAATAAAAGTCAAGAACTACACTGGGTGTGGGGGTACATGCCTGTAAGCCCAGCACTCTGGGAGGCTGGGGTGGGTGGAGTCCAGGACAGCCAGGGCTACACAGAGAAACTGTGCCTTGAAAAAAACCAAGAACTACCACATATTCTCCAACAGAAATGATTCTAAAAGCCATTATTTTGAGTGAAAGAACCCAGTTACATGTGTATGTCTACTTTAAGAATCTAATAACAGGTAGGTGATGGTGGCATGTGTCTTTAATCCCAGCACTCAGGAGGCAGAGGCTGGTGGATTTCTGTGAGTTTGAGGCCAGCCTGGTCTCTAGAGTGAGTTCCAGGACAGCCAAGGCTACACAGAGAAATCCTGTCTTGAGGAAAAAAAAAAAAAAAAAAAAAAAATCAATTAATATGAAATTTAAAAAATGGTAAAATTGACCTATAGGAACTTAGAGCAAATCACTCACAGCTTGCCATACTTTAAGTAAAAGATTGGGCCAGAGGTTGTAAAAGAGGCAGGACAGGGGAGTGTGGTGGTGCATGCCTTTAATCCCAGCACCTGGGAGGCAGAGGTAGGCAGATCTCTGAGTTTGAGTCCAGCCTGGTCTACAAAGTGAGTTCCAGGACAGCCAGGGCTACACAGAGAAACCCTGTCTCAAAAACAAAACAAAACGATATTCCCACCCTCCCCCACACTATTATAAAAATAGGAAAAGAAAAGCGGCAGGACAAACTTATCTGGGCAGGTGGAAATGCTCTGCTTTGCTCACAGTGACTATTACATGAGTGTCTTGTCAGTGCCCAGATGCACAAGTGAAATGGATTCATTTCACTGAGGCAACAGAGACCCAGGCAGGGCAATATGACAACACAAATATAACATAAATAAATTGGATCTTGCTGCAATGCTATTCAAAATCTTCCCATGGCTCTGATTTTTTTTAATTTATTTTTTTAATTAATTACAGTTTATTCATTTTGTATCCCTGCTGTAGCCCTCTCCCTCATCCCCTCCCAATCCTACCGTCCCCCCTCATCTCCTTCCATTCCCCTCCCCAAGTAAATTGATAGGGGAGGTCCTTCTCCCTTTCCATATGACCCTAGCCTATCAGGTCTCATCAGGACTGGCTGCATTGTCTTCCTCTGTGGCCTGAGGTAAGGCTGCTCCCCCCTCAGGGGGAGGTAATCAAAGAGCCAGTCCCTGAGTTCATGTCAGAGACAGCTCCTGTTCCCATTACTAGGGAACCCACATGGACACTGACTGCTATGGGCTACATCTGTGCAGGGGTTCTAGGTTATCTCCATGCATGGTCCTTGGTTGCAGTATCAGTCTCAGAAAAGACTCCTTTGCCCAGATTTTTTGGTTCTGTTGCTCTCCTGGTAGAGTTCCTGTTCCCTCCAAGTCTTTCTATCCCCCCCTTCTTTCCTATGATTCCCTGCACTCTGCCCAAGGTTTGGCTATGAGTCTCAGATTCTGCTTTGATACCCTGCTGGATAGAGTCAGAGGCCCTCTGTGATAGGCTCCTTTCCTGTTCCCTGTTTTCTCCCTTTTCCGATGTCTGTCCCATTTGCCTTTCTGGGTAAGGATTGATCATCTTACCCAGGTCCTCCTTCTTGCTTAGTTTCTTTAGGTGTACAGATTTTAGTATGATTATCCTATATTATATGTCAAATATCCACTTATAAGTATATACCATGTTTATCTTTCTGCTTCTGGGACAGCTCATTCAGGATGATCTTTCCTAGTTCCCACCATTTGCCTGCAAATTTCATGATTTCCTTGTTTTTAATTGCTGAGTAGTACATTGTGTAAATGTACCACAATTTCTGTATCCATTCCTCAATTGAGGGACATCTGGGATGTTTCCAGATTCTGGCTATTATGAATAAAGCTGCTATGAACATGGTTGAGCAAACGTCCTTATTGTATAGTTGAGCATGTTTTGGATATATGCCTAGGAGTGGTATAGCTGGATCTTGAGGTGGCACTATTCCTAATTGTCTGAGAAAGCGCCAGATTGATTTCCAAAGTGGTTACACAAGCTTACATTCCCACCGGCAATGGAGGAGGGTTTCCCTTTCTCCACAACCTCTCCAGCATGTATTGTCACTTGAGTTTTTGGTCTTAGCCATTCTGATGGGTGTAAGGAAATCTCAGGGTCATTTTGAGTTGCATTTCCCTGATGACTAAGGATGTTGAGCATTTCTTTAAGTGTTTCTCTGCCATTCTATATTCCTCTAATGAAAATTCTGTTTAGCTCTGTGCCCCATTTTTTTTTTAATTTTTCTTATTAGTTACATTTTGTTAATTCTGTATCCCAGCTGTATCCCGCTCTCTCATTCCCTCCCCAATCCCACCCTCCCTCCCTCATCTCCTCCCTGCCCCTTTCCAAGTCCACTGATAGGGGAGGACCTCCTCCCCTTTCATATGACTCCGTTTTGTCAGGTATTTTCAGGGCTGGCTGCAAAGTCCTTCTCTGTGGCCTAACAGTACTGCTCCTCCCTTGTGGGGTGGGGTGGGGGGGGGGTCAAAGAGCCAGTCATTGAGTTCCTGTTAGAAATAGTCCTTGTTCCCCTTACTATGGGAAACCAATTGATTACTGAGCTATCACGGGTCACATCTGAGCAGAGGTTCTAGGTTTTATCCACTCATGGTCTTTGGTTGAGTGTCCATCTCAGAAAAGACCCTGTGCCCAGATATGTTTGGTCCTTGTGGAGCTCCTATCCTTTCCACATCAAACTCCCCTTCTTTCATATGATTCCCTGCACTCAGCCGAAGGTTTGGTTATGAGTCTTAGTATCTACTTTGGAACACTGCTAGGTAGTCTTTCAGATGCCTTCTGCGGTAGACTCCTGTCATACGTTCAATGCATATCCCATTTGTCTTTCTAAATGAGGATTGATCATCATACCCCGTGTCCGCTTTCTTGATTATCTTCTTTAGATGTATAGATTTCATTATGTTTATCATATCTTATAGGTCTATATAAAAGTATATTCCATGTTTGTCTTTCTCCTTCTGGGATACTTCACTCAGAATGATCTTTTCTAGATCCCACCATTTGCCTGCAAATTTCATGATTTCCTCTTTTTTGATTGCTGAGTAGTATTCCATTGTGTAAAAATACCACAATTTCTGTATCCATTCCTCCGTTGATGGACATCTGGGTTGTTTCCAGGTTCTGGCTATTACAAATAAAGCTGCTACAAACATGGTTGAGCATATGTCCTTGTTGTGCACTTGAGCAAATTTTGGGTATATGCCTAGCAGTGGTACAGCTGGGTCTTGAGGAAGCACTATTCCTAATTGTCTGAGAAAGCGCCAGATTGACTTCCAAAGTGGTTGTACCAGCAATGGAGGAGGGTTCCCCTTTCTCCACAACCTCTCCAGCATGTGTTGTCACTTGAGTTTTTCATCTTGGCCATTCTGATGGGTGTAAGGTGAAATATCAGGGTCGTTTTGATTTGCATTTCCTTAATGGCTAATGAGGTTGAGCATTTCTTTAAGTGTTTCTCTGCCATTCGATATTCCTCTATCGAGAATTCTCTGTTTAGCGCTGTTCCCCATTTTTTAATTGGATTACTTGATTTGTTGCTGTTTAACTTGAGTTCTTTATATATTCTCAATAATAGCCCTCTGTCAGATATAGAGTTGGTGAAGAACCTTTCCTAGTCTATAGGTTGTCGTTTTGTCCTTTGCTTTACAGAAGCTTTTCAGTTTCATGAGATCCCATTTATTGATTGTTGCTCTGAGAACCTGTGCTGTTGGTGTTTTGTTCAGGAAGTTGTCTCCTGTGCCAATGAGTTCAAGGATCGTCCCCACTTTTTCTCCTAACAGATTTAATGTGTCTGGTTTTATGTTGAGATCTTTGATCCACTTGGACTTTAGTTTTGTGCAGGGTGATAAGTACGGATCTATTTGCATTTTTCTACATGTAGACATCCAGTTAGACCAGCACCATTTATCCATTGTATGGTTTTGGCTTCTTTGTCAAAAATCAAGTGTGTGTGGGTTTATTTCTGGGTCTTCTATTCGAGTCTATTGATCCACCATTCTGTTTCTATGCGTAGCTCCCATTTTTAAAGGAGGTGGGTGGGCTCAGTGACCAAGAGCACTGGTTGCTCATCTGATGGACCCACATTTGATTCCCCACTTATATGGTAGCTTCCTCACAAATGTCTGTACCTCCAGTTCCGGGGGTTCTGATGCCCGCTTCTGACTTCCATGGGCATCAGGCCCACAGTTTTATTACAATCAGGTAAAATATACGTACACATTAAAAATAAAATTAAACCAAGAGATGGCTCAGGGGTTAACAGTGCTTGGTGTACTTGCATTAAAAATTAATTCATATTTTAAATGAGACATACAAACTGGAAAATAACAAATTTGAAGCAAAATATTTTTCACTTAACAATAACTAATTCAGTTTTTGTTTTGCTCTTTTAGGGTTTTTATTTGGGTTGAGACAGAGTCTTTCTTTATATCTAGTAGGCCAAGAACTCACAGATACTCTCCTGTCTTTGAGTCCTTAGTGCAGGGATTAATTAGTTTTTGTTGTTGTTTTGTTTTTTGTGGGGTGGGAATCAAGACAGCGTTTCTCTGTGGAGGCCTGGGTTTCCCAGAAATTGTTCTGTAGACCAGGCAAGCCTCAAAATCACAGACAGCTGCCTGACTCTGTGTCCTGAGTGCTGGGATTAAAGGTGTGTACCATCACCAGCCAGTACCCATTAAGTTTTTAATACCTAGTTTTCATAATCATAACTTTCAACACCAGTCATGGTAGGTCTTGACAACTTGATACAAACCAACACACACCTGAGAAGAAGGAATCTTTCTTGAGGAATTGTCTCTATCAGATTAGCCTGTGTGCATATGGGGAGGGGGCACATTCTTAACTGCTAATTATGTAGGAGGGCCACTGTGGGCAGTGCCATGCCCAGGCAGATGGAACTGAGAAAGGAAGCTAAGTTAAGTCACAGGAAGCAAGCCAGTAAGCAGCATTCCTCCATGGATTTTTCTTCAAGCCCCTGCCTTGACCTCTTTCCTCCTTAAGTTGTTTTTAGTTTTATTATAACAACAGAGATTCAAACTAGGACAACTACACTAATAAGCCACTGACATGTAACACTCCAATTTGTTTACTCATTGCTTGACTAGGACCTAGAAGAAATGAAACAGTGGGCATATCGCAACATGTCTCGGTGTGAATGCCAGGTGGACCTCCGATATGGTTGTTATAATATAGTCCCTCAAGTTACTTGTTTACAACACAACAAATGGCCCAGGACTCAAATCTCAGAGACCACCAGCAAAGTCAAGGACTTGAAAGGGCAAGTGTCTGGCTCCATGCAGGTGTGTCCCTGAGGCATGACGCCAAGGGAACAGTGCTTTCAAAGGGGAGTTGGTTTCAGATCTCTTTTCTTTTTCACTTAACACAGCAGACAGCAGATTGGTGGATGTTACCAAGAAGACCTTCCTACAGCGGTTCAAATAAACATGGTGGCAGGCCAAGTGCCCAAGTGGAGGTGATAAATGAAATCATTAATCGAGATGCTAGGCATGAAGCCAAGAGCAAGTTTCTAGATGTCTCAGGGTGCCCAGAGGCCCAAGCTCGCCACTGTAGCCATCGACAACTAAATACTCAAAGTGCACCCCCAGAATCAGCGCCAAAGAACCCTCTAGAGACCTCTAGTTATCCAGGAGAGAAGTGGCACTGAGTCTGGAAGCTCTTCTGGTAGCACAGAAAACTTCCATTGGAAACAGGGCCCCAGGCCGTGGATTTGACAGCTACCAGCTGCCACTCTCAGAAACTGTTCCCTGTGCTAAAAATGGCCCATGGTGTGGCAACGCACACGGATCGTCCACTCCTGTGTGCTCAGTGCCAGAATCCATGGTCATTCCACAACACCACAGACAAGAACTCACCTTGGAAGCTTAATTCGTAGTTCTGTGAACCAGCCTGAAAGGGCAGAACTCCTCTGGGACAGGTCTGGAAGAAAGTCTCCAGGTATGTGGAACTGATGTCAGAACTGGGATGGGCTGTGTTCTAGTTACATAAAAATTGAAGAACATATAGGTAAAGACTTGAGCGTAGGTTTTTGGGAAATCTCTACCATTCTATCTTACACAGTTTGGCTTTAGTGACCAGATTAGGGAGGCTCTCCCAAGCCAGGCTTAAGAACTTCCCACCAGACAGCGACCAAGTCATAGTGCTGGATGGAGCACTGACCTGTGGAAAACGACTATACTTCCAGTGAGTGTCTGAAGACTGTAACTACAGTATTCTTTTACACTGTCTATACAATATAAGCCCATCTGCACCTGCTGTCCAACAGAATCCAGTAGTCTTGTGTGGATCACAACATCACGGGCAGTTTGGAGGTGAAGTGAAGGAGAGTCAAGAAGCTCTTCCAATACAAGTCTAAGCTCCAACAAGCATACTGCTGCTCAAATAAATGGCCTGGTCCTCTCCTCTGCCCTCAACCAGAGCAAACAGCATGACCAGGCCTCCGGCCAGGCAACTACACTGAAAATGCACTTAGGCTTGGGGCCCACTGAGAATGTGATGAAAGGAGCTTGGATGTTCAAGAAATGTAGACCTAATCTCTTGTTTTCAAGGCATCTCTGAAGCATGTGAACCCCAGAATGGATGGGGAAAGACGTGTCAAAATGAAGCCATCATTCCACTGTATCCGTCCTGTGGCAGGTGCAGACTTACGTGAAAGCCTACATGCAGGGGCTGCAGTGTAACAGCCGCAGAACACTTCCCTGAAAACTAGACCTGAGGGGCTGAAGATAGCAATCCTGCCAGCTGCCTGCATGGGAGGGGCTCATGGTTTCTCCAGTGGCATTCAGCTTTCTCCTAGGCTTTGTCCTACATGCTCTCTTCATCGAGAAGACCAGCAGGCATGGAAGGGGAACATTTATGTTCAGATGCTTGCACACAATGCAGGGTGGGAATTGGTCTGGGTATGTGCCAGGAGATAGGGCCAAAAAAAAAAAAGGCAGAAGATTGCTAAGCGCCAGCATCCAACGATGACGCCAAACCATGAAAATGTTTTGATGCAGCTGCCACTAAGAGAAATGGCTGAAAAAGATCACTGCCATGACTGGTGACAACTGGTGCCCATGTGCCTCCTTCTGACTCAAAGAACAGCTAAAGGGGCAAATGCTTATAAGGCTAACAGACTTCCTGTTTCCCTAGTTTGAAGTCTTGTATTTTTCAACTATCTGCTCAGCTTTGTAGATCCCAGTCTATAAATTTTACACAGAGAGAGCACACCGAGTCACTGACTAAAGTACAGGCTATGGCAGAGGAGCTAGGGCAAGGAAGAGCTTGGAGGCTCAGCACTTGAACATCATCCAGGCAATGATCTGTGAACCTCACTCTGACGAGCAAGGCTCTATGGTCTAGTGCAGCTGAGGATAGTTATGAATTCAGCCCAAGACAAATATGAAATCATTCTTAAACTATCATGAATTCCTTAGCTCTGTTGCATTTGAACAATGTGATTGGTTTTGCTCTTCCATCTTGTTTCTTATTACAGTTTCTAACTATACTTAAGTTCATATCAATCAATCAATCTATCTATCTATCTATCTATCTATCTATCTATCTATATCTATCTATCTATCTATATCTATTTTGGTTTTTCAATAAAGGGTCTCTCTATCTCTGTGAGACTGTGGCTGTCATGGAACTCGCTCTGTAACCAGGCTGGCCTCAAACTCGGAGATCTCCTGCCTCTGCCTCCAGAGTGCACTGCCCAGCTAACTTTTTAAAAAACACTCTCTTTCCCTTCTCTACATTTACTTGTTTTGGGTTGGAGAGGGTGCTATGCCATTGTGCGCATGTGGAGGTCAGAGATCAGCTTGCAGGAGTCAGTTCTCTTTTCCCACCACGTGGGTCTTGGGGATTGAATGTAGGTTATCATGCTGATGGCAAGTGCCTTTATCCACTGGGCCACCTCACCAGCCCTAGGATGGTTAATTTCAATGGTCAGCTTGGCAGGCCTGGAATCAGCGGGAAGATGGTTTCAATATGGGACTGTGTAGACTAGGTTGGCCTGTGGGCATGTCTGTGAGGGACTTTCCTACTTAGGTTAATTGAGGTGGGAAGCCCCACATGGAATGCAGATGGGCCATTTCATGAGCTGGGTACTGGACTGAATAGAAAGGAGAGCATGATCAAGATAACCATTCCTTGCTCTCTACTTCTTGACTACGGTTGCACAGTGACCAACCGTTGAGCTCCTGAGGCTGTAACCTGGACCTCGGAAATAGAGTAAATGCTTTCTCCCATATATATTGTACCCCCTTTGAGACAGGGTCTGAACTCACTATATAGGCCAGGCTGGCTTTAAACTCAGAGATTTACCTCTGCCAAGTGCTGGGATTATAGGCACGTGCTACCATGCCTGACCGAGATATATAATTTTTAACCTTTTCACATTTATTTAGTGGGTGGGCAGGGGAAGCGCACAGGCCAGGGTGTGCCTGTGGAGGTCTTAGAACAGCTTGCAGTATTGTTTTCTTCTTCCACCATGTGGGTCCCAGGAATCAAATCCCACCATGGGGAAAGCAATAAAGGCACACCCCTTTATCCTCTTTCTTTTTAGTGAGGAGAGCCAACTCAATTATGCCACAATGGAGTCAATGAATAAAAGAACTCCTTCACATCTTCAAGTGAATATGAAGCAAATGTTTTGCATTGTGTTTATGCACATATAAGAGTATATTCCAGGGCTGGCAAGCCACAGAACCTGAATTCTAACCCCAGATCCCACATGATGGAAGGAGAGAACTAACTTCTGAAAGTTGCCCTCTGACCTCCATATTCACATGTGCACACACAAGCACCCCCCCATAACTAACTAACTAACTAACTAACTAACTAACTAACTAACTAACTAACTAACTAACTAA